TCAAATTAGGCCACAGATAGTTTCCCTCTTCTGTCTTGGGCCAATGTAGAAATGTAACTCTTTGAGTATTGGCCACTGAAATTTCCTTTAAGAGCAAGCAAACTGATACAACCACCGCATTTCCTTTCTTCCTCAGAAGATCCTGTTCGTGGTAGGAAATGGAGGCCAAGTGGTTTGTGTGTTGCACTGGAAGCGCGTTGTGCTACTTGGTTCTTAGCAGGAGCATCTGCAGAATTTGGGAGTGCAGGAAGAAGATGGGTTTTAAAAGTTCATTTCTTTGCATGCCATTTCATGTTCCTGAAGTCGAAGTTAGAGTGAAGAGGATCACTTCATTGCCCAGTGTGACCCCTGTGCCTGTTGACGTCATGCCAAGCGTTACAGCATGCTTGGGCTATTGGACAGTGTGTATTAAGCTTTGTGGGTTAAGACATTAAGATTTGGCATTGATCGATAAACCCAAGCCGGTGGTAGGACTGACAGTGTAGGAGTTCCCTGTATCTTCATGGAAGGAGAGAAATTCTTGCCAGTTGATTCTGAAAATTGAGGTATGAAAGGCTGCGCTCTCCCCAGTCCATCTGCAATTGTATTGATGTTTGTGGGGTAGGTACTTCGGTGCCTGGGCAGGTCACCCCTGCTAGCGACCTGGGATGAAGAGGGACATAGACCTGCTGCTCCCAGCCCTGCCCGGCCGCACTGTGCTCGCCAGCACTGGGAGGAGGAGTCTGTCTTCAGGGACATCTGCCGTCAGTCTGCCAGGGAGAGGGTGCGAGGCAGTACCTTGGCAGGATGGGACAGGGCTTTCTACTGCCTGGAGAATGGCAATGGCATTTATCCTTTTCATGACAGAACTGGATTCACAGGAAATCTATATTCTTTACAGATTTGGCTAAAATATGTACTTATGCTACTACATCAGACACTGCAGTTGCCCAATTGTCACACAGACTGCAAAATCTAGCTCGGTTCATGTGAAAATCTGCCTTTCCAAAGCTGAAATAGCTTTAATTGTAGAGGGCAGCAGCATATAATAATACCCCCAAACACAGTGACCTTGCAGGTATTCAGCTGCCGTGTTTTAGCTGCTGTGGGATACGGTGCTGTTGGTGAGATCTAACCTATTGAAATGAGTGTCAGACGGGAACTAAAGTTAATTTCATGGCTCCCATGCCACGTTTGGCTCTCAGTGGTAACCTCACTGGGAGCTGATGTAGCTGACTGATAGAAGGACTCGGTCCTGCTTATTAACAGAGGGCTTTGCAGTTACAAATTAGTGCTTGTTCATCTGTGAAGAGCATTCACTATCACCATCCACAGCAAGAGTACAGAAAAGAACTCCAACAAACTCCAAACAGAAGAGCTTGTTGGCAGCCGTCACGATAATCAGAATAAACGCAGAGAAATACTGTGCTCAGCCCCTGCGATGTCTATCAGGGAGCTATTTCAGTTGCTCCCTGAGGCATTCACATCTCAGCCCATCTGTGTCTGATCCTAAATTACTTATGACTGTGAGAGATAAGGGATTTCCCCATAGATAAGGGGAGGGGGGGTGGAACATAATTTTTGTGTTTGATATTTATATTAATGGCACAGCATGCAGAAAGCATTTAATTCCTGAGAAGCAGAATTTAGGTGACATAAAAATATCAGTAAAGATAGGATATTAAGAAAAAGACACTCCATCCAGTAGCTGCTTTTTTTTCCCTTAAAAATTTTCCCCTTGGTAGAGGATCAGGTGACAATGAGTATGATGAACACTGAAAATGAAATTCTCTAATAGCACAATCCAGCTGCAAGCCAAATGTTACACAAAGACCCTGGCAAGACTGAAAGAAGACAGAACATAAAAGATTTTGTATTACAGTAGTCTCTACCGTCAAAGTGCTTTGCAAACCTGACTGAAGTTGCTGATCTCACTTCTTGGAAAGGCAAAGATACTTATCTCCATTTTCAGAAGCCAGGAGACTGAGCATCTTGCCCACTGGTGACACAGTGGCATTGTCCTCACAAGAAGGTACTCTGAGTTGCATCTTATCTCCTAGTCATTAAGTGAACTGTATCTTCAGCTAGGGACAGGTTCTGCTCAACAGGTAATGGAGAAGGAGCTTGCGCTTTGGATTTCCTCCCCCAGAAATGCATCTACAGGCAATGTTATGCCAGCACTTCCACAGGCTTCATAGTACTGAATGTTTAGTTCGTACATTAGCTGAATTGAGTATAAATGCCACCTTTTGAAAGCATTTCTTTTCATTAATGCAGCCGTCAGAACATTCTCCATCATGTCTGTGGGATGATGTCTTCTGCTGCCATTTGTAATAGAGATTGGAGGCTCCTGTAATGCAGCAGTCCTTGAAAAACAATGCTTGATACCATGCTTGTTATGTATTGGAGAAGTACACTGTTTGCAAGTCATATGCTAATCTTCTTAAACAAATAGAGAGCTTCGGGTACATCTGCCTCTGATTCTGGACCATCCACAAAACTGGGACAATACGCAGTTTTGTAAATGATCACGATCTCTCTTTTTCGTTGTGCAGAAACTTTAACTGATACCAAATCCTGTCACATATGGTATGTTCATGTGAAATGGTAAAAGACTGTGATATATACATCTATGGTAAATGAAAGGCTTTGCAAAAAGGTGAAAAAACATATTTGGGACCCTGCTTCCATGGAAATTGAACTTGTACTCAGGAAAGGCCTTGGCATAGTAGTGTTGGAGAAGTCAACTTGCTTTTTCAGATCTCAGTTCTGTCTGCTTGCAAAGTAGATATAAGATTGTTTCCTTAACTTTATGAAGAAATTTGAGATTACGGATGTTAAAAAAAGTTCCACGATATTATTACCATTTCAGGCTACTTCACACCTAAAAGGGCTAAAGCTGAGCTTTTTCATGTTTTTATATTTAATGTGCATTGATTTAGCAGTATGAACCGTAGACGATCTTTAACGAGTTGAGCATTCAATGGTTCAGTCTAGTCAATGAATTTCATGGTTTAGTCTAGGTAACACCACCGAGAAGCAAAGATGAGGCTGACATTCACAGGACTACTAGGGAAATAGCTGGTTTCTGTATTCTTTCAAGTTAACACAAAGTTACTGATAAGCAATTGGTTCTTTAGACAGTACACGAAAGGCTTAGTTGACTTCATTATAATTCAGGATTCCAGTGTTTCTGCACACTGGAAACTTTGTTTTTCAGCCAGCTATAGTCCTTGCACTGCCTGAGATCTAAGCTGCAATATTTACTAATTTGAAATCTGTGATTTATAAGTTGGACTAGTACAAGTTAGAAAAAGCCTACATTGGTGAGTGCTTAGCCTTACCTTTAATAAAGACAGCATTTGTGACATTAGGGAGAGTTTCCTTCTGTGGTGTGCTTACATTTCCCTTAGGCCATTTTCAGTGAGGTCAGGATGGGCTTGATTGGAAAATTTAATGGCTTTTTCCATTTACATTCCCTTTTGCCAAGCTGGTCTTTAAAGCTGCTCTTTCATGATGTGTGAATTTCTCTCCCTTTGAAGAATTAACATCAGATACAACACAGAAAGAAGATTTTAGAAATGAGCTATTAGGCAGGGAAGAGGCACTTTTAAGATGCTTGCAAGTTGCACAGCAACCAGAAGAACATATAGTCATTTGATTTCTCAAATGACTCTGACTTTGACTCAAGAGAAAAACAGTTTTATTCTCCGCTTAGAGCTTTCTATCATATGTGATAAAGAGAAAATGTGTTTATACATTTTTGCCCTCAAAAAAAAGTTGTACCTCATCTCGGAGAAACAGCAGCATCTATTACCATGTAAATTGCCACAGAACACATGCGGTCACAGCTCCTGTTTGTGATCTTAAATGAGAAAACATATCAGTGTAACCTTCCGTTTCTTCTAGCTTTCAGATATAACGCGCTGACCCTTCTGAAATCATAGATTAAAAACCAACCAACCAAATGACAATTGACGCTTCATGTTTTTTCAGTTTCTGTAGAATTGTTTCTTTCATTACTGACCCCAGTGCAGAGCCCAGTGAGAAATCTGAATTTAGCAGATCAGAAGTATAACTTCATTAAGATGGGTTAGAAATTAAATACATAAAGAAAAACACAGTTGTCTTGGTCTTGCAGACATCTCTAATTAGCTATGGGTCTGAATTCCGAAGGCTGTTAGGTATTAGAACAGTCTGGAGGAGCTGCAGCCTGAGCACGTCTGGTATGGAGTCGCTGAGATGCAATAAATCACCATCATAATGCTATTTTTGACAGAGTGAAAGTAAACTTTCAAGTGTCACTTTTGGTACTGTGATCAAAGATTTCTTTTTGCCTCTGCTTCATCTCTTACATTTTACAACTGCTCTCTTCCTTAATAGCAAGGCATGTTTACAAGTGTGCTGTCCTGCTTCCCAACAGATGTAACCTGGCTGAGCTTCACGTTACTGTGTGCCGTCTCATGCCCAGCCCAGCCCACACACACATATGCTGGCCTCCTTGCACAAAACCACGTGCAGCACCCCACACACTTCTGGAGACATTCTCTCTCACCCTCTCTCACACACACACAGACTCTCAGAGTTTTACACCTTTTCCCTCCTGTCTCATCTTTTAGTCACTTCTTAAAGATGCTGACAGTGATTTGTTTGAGGCAGTCGAAACCTGAAACATTCTGAAAAGAAACATGCTGAAAGAGAAACTCATGGGAAGAGAAAAAGCTCGTAGTAATTTTTGTTGTATCACTTTTGCATGAGGCTTCATGTGTGGTGAGTGACTGATCTACATAAGGATGCTTCAAATAAAAAAAACCTCATAGAAGAAATCTTAAATCCTGTGTAGAAAAATAAGAGCCAAATGTTGCTCCTTTCTTCCCTCTGTCTCCAAAATATGCTTTTCCACCCCATAGCCAGCTCCAAACTTAATATGAGGGTCTGTGTGGGCTCTAACACATATGTGAGAGGGAGTGCACATGCAGTACCACTCAGTAATAATCTTTCTTTTTTTATTTCCTCCTCAGTTTGTTGCTCAGCCAAACTGCCAGCAGCTACTCGCAACACTTTGGTATGATGGTTTTCCAGGATGGAGGCGGAAACACTGGGCAGTAAAACTCTTGACGTGTGTCACCATTGGACTGCTGTTTCCTGTGCTATCCGTGGCATATCTGATTGCACCGAAGAGCAGGCTGGGACTGTTCATTAAAAAGCCATTTATAAAGTTTATCTGCCACACTGGCTCTTACCTAACCTTCCTCTTCATGCTCCTGCTGGCATCGCAGCACATCGTCAGGACTGACCTTCACATGCAGGGACCACCTCCCACCATCGTGGAGTGGATGATCCTGCCCTGGGTTCTAGGTAAATCAGAAACATAAAAATGCCTGAGCCACAATCGCCTGGCTCGCACCCATGGCAACTGTGCAGAGACTCATTCCTGATCTCAGCATCATCAGCATGTAAAGAGATTTGGCAGCCAGCTTCAGTAACTGCATAAAACAGCTGGGCTCCTTCTGGAACAACAGATCCTGTTGGCCTAGGGCTCTTCTGCTGTTCATATTGCCATCTGACATGCCTTTAGACATGACCCTGACTAAACCGCAGCAGACACAGCTCTCTCCCTGCTTCCCCCATGCTCCGTGCGAGGAACAGGTCAGGAGTTAGCTTCTGGGTCACGCCAGTAACAACTAGTGTCGCTTCTCGTGCCGGCTTAGTTCTGCTGGCTAGTACATGGCAGAAGGCAGCGCCGAGAGCTGTGTCTCTGCTTTCGCCTTCTCACCAATCTGCTCCTGGAGCCAGCGCGCCTTCTCGTGCCGGCTTAGTTCTGCTGGCTGGTACATGGCAGAAGGCAGTGCCGAGAGCTCTGTCTCTGCTTTCGCCTTTTCACCAATCTGCTCCTGGAGCCAGCGCACAGGTACCAGGCCTCTTTATTCCTGGGCTCCCAGGTTCCCAAATAGCCTACAGGAGGGCAGAAAAGGGAAGATATATCTCACTCTGCCATATGCTGATAAACACTTGACCAAATCTATATCGAGTGCTCTAATATAAGCAGCAGAAGGAGGGAGTATTTATTATCAGAAGGTTAAATGTGAAGGTCTTATTCCAGTCTGGCTTGGGCAGCCACAACAGTGAAGAAAAGGAGGTGTCCATGTTCCTGAGGGCACGATGTACGGGTGAGGTAGTGAGACAAGAGGGGAGAAAGCAGATAGAGCCACTGAGGGAGAAGAGCAGAGAAGCATAGTTGGCTAGATTTTTTATGAGAGAGAAGTATTTACCTTTCAAACTGATCTCCAACACAACAGCAAGTGAAAACCCGTGGACTCCATTAGAAGTGTGATCTCTCCTCTAACTAAGCTCCTATCTCCCTCGCGGTGCCGTTAACCTGTAGCACCACCATGAGCTCAGCTGTTAGGAGAAGGCCTGCTCACGGGCAATGGTTTCCAGACCTTTATAGCTCTCCTCCAGCCTCTGCCCATACAGCCCAGGTCAGTTCAAGTGCAAAACCCCAGAGGTCAGGTAACAGTGAATTGCAACTGTCTGGTAGGCATCAGTGGCCTGGAAAGCCAGGGTGATGCTTTCTGAGCACACCTCTCACAAACCTCAGTCTCTGGAGCTCTCCTTATGGCTCCTCAATGCTTCTCACGGATCCATCTCTGCTTCCCTCTGTGCTGGCTTCCCTCTCCCGATAACAGCGGGCCCCAGCTCCGCATTCCTGTGGTGCCTCTGGATCAGGCTGGTTCTGTGCTGAACGAACCTAGCTATTCTCCATGCCAAACCTAAAATTGCTGATGGAAAATGAGGAAAGAAATTAAGAGTTGCAAACGTTCACAAATCCCTTTCCATCATGACCCAGGGCACTTTGCTCCTGGCATAGCTCTACCACAACTTACAAATGGTAACTCAAACCTCATTATCTTATTAAACTGATTTATGGCACTGAAGTGCATGTGTTGGTAGAAACTTCAGAATAAGCTGCGAAGGTTAAATGTCTTTTCTGAGCTTTGATGATCTCTTCACTTTATCCTTAACTTCATGGTTAAAATTGAGGGAAATGGTAGGCATTTCAGCAAAACTGATTTGCAGATGAAAGAAGGATAATCCATTAAAAAAAGCCTTTCAAAATCACCTCTTACAGCTGTCTGCTCTTCTTTTTGAGTTCCTTTGTTTCGGATAAATAGGGATATTGTGGGATCATTTATTAAATGGAGAAATTGGAACAGTTTCACCAGATTAAAGGTTATTATTTAAGAAATATTTTCCACTATAAAAGGAAAGGGAGAACAGGCATACACAGCATTGCTGTAACTATAGTAACCAGCAATGATAACTCACTATAAATACAGTGTATCAGTTTTTCAACAGGCTTCTCTCCATTGATTTATTTTATTTTATGTTTTTGTGTGCATGCAAAGATTTGGAGGCAGCTGTAATACAATTACCTTATTGGCCTTGACATTATGCTTGCCTGACCATTGACCTGCTGACTGGCAGCTGAAGAGCTAAGATTGATACTTGGAGGTTTGCAGCAGTTCATTTCAACATCATCTGCTCTTCAGATTGAACTTTCAGGTCCTAAAACTTGAGTTGCAAGTAGCATTTCAGTGACCACTGCAGCATCCTGTGGTTAGGTATGGGTAGCAATTTGGGTAACTATATTGGTAATGCACCTGGAGGTGTATTTTGTTGTAGTTTTTTTTTTCTTTTCACACGTTTCAAGTCTTCATTCAAGGATAATGTAAACTGGGTAATTCAAAATAGCTGGGGGCTCTAAAGACATTCTCAGAAGCATGTAGGTGATGAAGGAGCCTAGCTACCATTTGCTTTTTAATGGGGCTTAAGCTCTCAAAAATACTTACACCACACCGTTCTATCATAAAGGATGTGTAAGTTACTTAAAATTAGAATTGTATGCCAGGTGAGTTTAGCAGTCTGGTAATGAACTTCACCCCTCCAGCTGCAAGGAGGTATAGTGAAGGTGAGCAAGTGCCAAAAATTATTACCAGAAGGCATTTCAGAGTTGAGATGATAGGCTCTGGCCATATCCTCAGGAACAAATGATCACCTCGCAAAACCCATAGCCGTATTTGACGTTAGGTGAGTCATTGCTGAGAGATGCCATGCCAGGCTGCGGTGCCCTTTTTCATGCTGAGTCCTACCTTTTTTTTCACCAATAGTCCCTATGGGCTTTTTTGTGCAGCAAGATGCATAAATGCAGTGACTGAGCATAGAGAATGAATTCGCTTCTTCCTTCTTTGGTGTGATATTTCCAGGTCAGGGAGGAAATGTACTGGCACGCAGAAGCTGGTACTAGTGTTGCGTGTTCTGCAGAGAAAGTCAGGAAAAATCAGTACTGTCCAACTGAGCAATGAATTACTTAACATTTCTATGAGACCAGACAATCTATTATGAAGTATACCAAATACAGTTGCTTAAATAGTTTATTCATGTAGAACAAATTTCATCTGAGCCAATCCGCTCATACTAGTTATAATTAACACGTTTCAAGCAGTCTCCTTGTGTGTGTATCTGGAGCCCTGGCTAGGAAACCTAGGTCTTTTTCATATCTCTCTAGACTACATTCCCCACAAAGTTATAAAATGTCCCATAATCAGCAGTATTATACTTTGTAGGAGACAGGAGGGATGAGACATTTTTTCCAAGCTGTTAATTTAGAATTGTCTTTTATTACATCAGATGTACACAGTGCTTTAATGGCAAATAATACCTTGTCATGACAACGAACTCTTTCTTTCTACAGGTTTTATCTGGGGAGAAATCAAGGAAATGTGGGATGGTGGATTCAATGAGTACGTACACGACTGGTGGAATCTGATGGATTTTGCAATGAACTCCCTCTATCTTGCAACTATCTCCCTTAAAATTGTTGCCTACGTCAAGGTACAGTAACTTGGGGGAGAGAACTTGCTTGTGAGAACTGTAGTACACAGTGTAGACACTGTCAAAATCAAAATTACAGATCAAAGAGAATCGCTGCTTTTCAAGCAGTCCAGTTTTGAAAATCCACCTGGAAAGCTTATTAATTTGTTTGGAGAATGATCGTCCTTCTCATCCTGACTCTTTGATTAAGACTGAAGTAGATTGTTTGGGCATTGGGTAGAAGTTTCCCCACTTGCTGTCCATTTTGTAGCTACTCTGTTGCCAAAGATACGTTTTGTTTTCCATACTGACACTGGACCTGTTTGAAGAATGCTAGATATAGTGAAAACATGATTTTTAAATAAAACAGTGAAGGAGAAACAAGAATAGGGTTATCTGAAAACATCTACAGCCAAGGTTTATCATCTGTAGTCCTACAGATCTGTGGATTACTAACCAGAAGTTTGTGAAAAGTCTACTAAGAAAAGCAAGCCTGCTAGTAGGAGGCTTCCATCTGATATAAAGGAGTCAATTTACTCTCTTCGATATATAGTTTTAAGGTATAGGCAAGGAAATGACAAAGGAGCATGCTGGATCTTTAACACCATGTAAATTCTTCACTGTCATGTTCCATTAATGGCAAGAATGCACATCAGAGCTCATCCTCAAAAGCACATTTATAAACGTCTGATGCTCCAAGTTAGCGTATGCACATGTTTTGAAGCCAGAGGCTGGCCTGAAGCACTTTCTGTCTTTCTTTTTCAAAGACACAGACAAGACACAAATGGCCTCCTCAAACTTCCTCCTTCAGTTGGAGCTGCATGCTTGGTCTGATTCTTTTCTTGGTATGAATCAGCAGTAACTTCACTACAGTTGGTGTAATTACACAGGTGTAAATCAACTAACTGGAGTCTGTTCCTTGGCCACTTACGTGCTTTCTAGGTTTGCTGCGCTGCTGTGTTGGTTTTGCCTCGGTAGAAGGGTCCTAATTCTTTTAGCCCAGGTCATTATAACCAGGACAAGCACTTCCCCAAAGCAACCTCGTTTAGTCCCGTCCAAGCATGTATGCAGGCAGAGAGGAAAAGAGAAGAAAATTTCACAAAGCTCATTGACTCCAAAATGGCAAGGCTTTTATAAAAATACTCTTTAGCAAGCAGTCCTGCTATGGGACCTTTTTAAAATCCAGAAGGCTGCATAGTGGTGAGTTAGTTTTTCAAAGGGAAAAGCTTTAATAGTTGCTGCTCCCTGAAGAGGCAGCTCTGTAACAGCATCAAAGCAGGAACAGATTACATCTTTTTTTCTCCCAACATTCAGAACCAGTGAGGAAATTACAGGCTTGAAAGCTTGGTCTTTAAACTGGGAGCAATACAAAAAAATGCTGGAAATTGTAAGATTCGTGAACAAATCTTAAAATGTTAACAATCTCGTTCTTTCTCTTTCTCACACACAAATTACTAGAAGAGCTGTGCATGCACACATTTATACAGTCACATACTGAGATGTAAACTCACAGCCAAACCACAGGTACAAAGGAAGTACAGCTTTGTTCATACACTCTGTAAGAACTACAGAAAATTACAGGCTAACTACAGAGACCTATACGCCAGCACACAAAAGAATGCTTACAGGAATATATCTGAGTACAGATCAGACCCACTTGGATTAAACCTGACTGATCTAAGGTCTGCTCCTGACGAGGACCAATGTCAGACAATTCTGAGAGGTGCAAAAAACCTTACAGTGGAGTAGTTCTGAAACAGCATGCTCACAGAAGTTCCCTTCTGACCTATGTCACTTTGAGGTTGCAGTATGCTCTGAAACGTGAGGATTTATAACATTGATAATGGCTTCAAAACCTTTGCAACATGACTTGTAAAGGTTTTTGTTATTTATAGAACAACCCTGAGCTGGAAAAGGCTGGTATATATGCCAATATACCATATTCTAACACTTCTTAGAACTTCAAAGGATTACACGAACATTTAGCTTTCTGACAAATATCAGAAACATAAATTGCATACTGACACTAATGTTTTCCATTCTTGTTCTGACGTGGAGACTTTTTTTTTTCCTTGATCTGACTGGATCCAACACCTGGCCCTAATATTGTCCAATACCAATGAAATCTTCAGGCTAATTATAGGGTAAAAATAGTTTCTTAATCAGTTTTCATTTGTTGCATTGAATTATCACATAATGAGAAATAGTAAATGTGAATGCCTGGCATAACTTATTTGTACTATTCTGTACACATCTCTGCTGTGTTTCATCTTCATCTTCTGATGCTTAACCCAAACAACTCCAGCCTTCCCAGACACTCGGCTTCATTAGCTACCTCTGAAATCTTCTGTTTCTCTGTTACCTATGATGCTAGACTGCTCTGAAGAGACTACTGTTTTCCAAGCAAGGATATACCATCAGCTTATAAAGGGTCAAAATATGACCCTAACAAGTTGCTTTAAAAATAGATGTGAGATGAAAACGACCTTTTCGCATTCCTTTACATGCAGTCTATGCTAAACCCTAGCAGAGAGCCCCTGGGCTGCTGTGTCCAGCCAGCATGCAGAAGAGAACTGCAAACAATGGTGCAAATCTGCTCTCTAGGGAAGCTTTCCGATCACAACCATCCACCCCCATGGCTGGATACTGGCAAAAAGTTAACATGTCTGCCAGTTTGTAAACGTTTTAAGACCCATCTTCAACTCAACAGGCTCAGGCCATGATGTTCATGTAATAAAGAACAGTTTGGAAATGTCAGAAGCAATCAGAGGTCATGCTGAAATGCCTTTGTATCTTATCTCAGCTCTTCATACAGAGGAATAGTTTGAAATATCAACTTGCTTTTAGCTGTGTCCTTGAAAAAACTGGGAGCTCATACATTGGACCTTCAGATTTAAATAGAAAGTCCCTGCAAACTCATCTGTCAGTATGATATTGATAGCATTTGCTTTTAAAAGGTATGAAAATTATTTTAGGAGTCCTAAACATGCTGGCTCCACTATTAGCTATATTATTCTCAGTACATTTTTGCCTCTTTATACGTGTTAAATGAGCAGGGACAAATGTTAAAAAGACAATTATTCCTTGATGTTAAAATGTCTTTGACTCCAGTCTGTGGTGCCAATGTAGTTAAGCCAGAGTAGTTACATTTATACAGCCAGCTCTTTTGTGTTACCTACTTGCATCTGGCTCCACTTTGCTCAGAAAATATTTCTGCTTTTACAGTTACATTACAAACCAAGTTAATATTATAATTGATGCACTCAAATGTATCCAGTGTTTCAGCTGTAATTATGACCTCTGCTTTAGCAACTCTCCTAAAATTGCCATGACAAATTAACTAATAAGAAAATTAATATGAAGAAAGCATTTTGGTTCTGGGCTCTTGGCACCTTTTTTGAGATTACTACGGAAGGAAAGTATTCACTTCTTACGCTGAACAGTTCATTGCTTTCCTTCTTCCCTCCCTTCTCCCTCCCTCGCATTCTTCCAGGAATGTGCAGTGTTTTGGATGTGCAGTCATATTTAGGAGGAAAAAGAAAAAAAGGTAATTGGAAATTTCTGACCTGGATCTACTAAAGGGCAGTCTGAACCCCTCTGAATGCTGAAAGAGGAGGAGATTGTCCATGACCCCATGGACCTGAAGAACCCGCAAACAGTGAACTCAAAATTCAAAAGGCCTGTTTTCTAAATTTAGGCTAAGAACAGCCAACATACCGGAAGCCTCTAAAGAAAAGCTGGTCCCATGACTATCCGTATCAGGGGGTCATAACCTAGTAGGGAGAGTTCATAAGAAGGCATCATTAAACCCAAGCCTCTGCTCTGATCAAGTCAGCTTCAATCCTGAATCCCAAATGTTAGCCTGACAATTGCTGAGACTTAAGAGTTTAAAAGTACTTCTTGTGTCACCAGTACCTTAGTTAGTATTTACATGTTAGTATTTACATGTGAAGCATTAGTGTTAGCAGGTGTGACTTTTTGAGTTATCTCAGAGGAATTACAACATCATTCACTTTTATACCCTTGTTATTTCTTTCAGTATAACGGTTCTCGTCCAAGGGAGGAATGGGAAATGTGGCACCCGACTCTCATTGCAGAAGCCCTCTTTGCAATATCCAACATTTTAAGTTCCTTGCGTCTCATATCCCTGTTTACAGCAAATTCACACCTGGGACCCTTGCAGATTTCTCTGGGACGCATGCTGCTAGACATCCTTAAATTCCTTTTTATCTACTGTCTGGTGCTTCTGGCTTTTGCCAATGGACTGAACCAGCTTTATTTTTATTATGAGACCAGTGCCTCGGAGGAACCCAACAACTGCAAGGGGATCCGATGTGAGAAACAGAACAATGCCTTCTCCACGTAAGATGTCTTTTCCTTTCTGTTTTTAAGGTTGACTTCCACTGTCCCCTGTCTTACCTGCCTTTGCCTGTTGTCTGTCACTGCACTGGAAGTGCCTTTATTTATTCATTCGCAAATATCAGGTGAGCTGGTTGACTGCTCAGGAGAGGTGTGAGTTAACTGGGGCAGATGTTCTGCTGAGCTTTGCTGTCAGAAAGACTCTTACTTGGGTCTGGAAGTGGGAGACAATTGTTTTAGTTCTGGACCAAAGAGTCTCCCTGCATGATCCTTAACTTAAATTTTATTATGGCTATGTACAATTTCAGAATATTTGAGAAAGCAAGTATCCTTTTTCCGTAATAATTGTTTTGAGTGATTCTGGAGGAAAGGAGGGGGAGCTAAACAAAATGTAGAAAACAAGGGATAAACTTATGAAAAAAAGGTATTAATCAATAATGTGATACAGCAACAACAATCTCACCTAGGCCATTTTTATGCATACATGATGTTGCAGGCTTCTCTGATTTCCTTGCAGTGGGGTCAGACTAAAATCCCAGCAAAACCCTTTTTGCTGGAAATGCTGGTACTTTACTGAGATGTTGGCATGGAAATTGCTGTGATAACAACTGGCAGGGCTGAAAGAGATAGCACATGCTGAAAAATAACATGAATTGTCTTTCTGATGTATTTGATTTAATTACTAATAGTGGAAATAATTATAATAATCAGCCCCCACCCAATTGTTCTTGCTGCTTGCACAGTACTTAAAGCACAATGGGAAGAGAAATAAATAAAGCACGGTCTAGAAAAAGGCCTGTGCCCTGCAAACAAGCAAAACAAAACTGTTGTCCACCACTTTCTGCTAAATTAAATAAAATTTGTCATAATACCCAATAATTCTCCACCCTTCCTCAGCTGAAGGCTTGAGGTTAAGAAGGGATTTGTGACATATTTGCACTGTTATCCAAAGCAGGTGATGGCTGAGGCCACATGATTAGGTTGGAAGAGGAAAGGCTCCAACATTGTCCTGTGGGCTCCCTCCTTAAGAGAAGTGGGGCATTTCCATGGGATAGAGTCCAGCCTTACAAGAACATCATGACCTGGTAGACCAGACGTGCTGCCATTTTCTACTGCAAAGCAGAAACACTATAGGCTTGATTAATTTTCTCATTAATCCCATCTATATCTGGAGGAATTGAATGGAACTGCGCTGTGCTAATGAAAAACAGAATTAAAGACTTCAGTCTTTTTTTCTGTTTTAATTGCTTCGCATGCCCCAGAAATGTGTTGTGCTGCCTTTGCAAAGGAATTAAATAACAAATGCTATTCCTTGATCTACGTTCATATTGATGCAGCAGCCACAGGGACAAATGTTTGGCAAGCAGAGTGTTTGTTAAGTGGCAGCTTCTAGCTCACAAAGGGTCAAAAACACAAAGTTCAGAACCAGAGCCTGCCTTTCCCTGGAGCTACGGTGAACCGCTGTATTCAGGTCTGCGTTCTGGTTTGGACCCGTCTGCATTGCAAACCAGTTGTTTTACAGATTTCACTGTCAGCAGGTTAGTGAAGAAAACAACAGCAGGATTTGACTAAAGAAAAAGAGCGTTGGGTCAGCAGGAGGAAAAAAAAAATATCCTTAAGTTTATAAGAAGGTGTAATACCTTGGGAACTAGAAATGATACAGAACCACTTAACAGAAAGTGTGCAGATCAGCTTAAATACAGACCACAATTTCTCCCACCCTAACATTCAGCTGAAACCCCCTGCCAAGGAGAATGTAGCACAGAAAGGAAATTGAGGGGGCTCAGCCTTTATGGCAGAGGTTTGTTTAAAACAAAATCGCAGTGGGAGGGGATCCATTAGGACTGAGGTCTCCTGGCAGGGGACAGAATGCTCTGCAGTTACTTTTTGTTTGAGACTTGCTTAAGAGATTTATTTAACATGTTCTTAAAAGTTTAAATAGTCGTTATTAACACCCCCAGCACAAGCTGACATTTGGCCCTTGAGCAGATGCACAGCATGGGTGACTGGCTAAGAACGAGCAACCTGCAAAATGGAAAATTACATTGTTGGGCTGGGGAGAGCGAGCATGGCTGGAGTGAATTCAAGTCAGAGCTGGTGTTACCTCAGGTTTGCTCATAGTTCATCCCTAATGAAAGAATAAATGTGAAAAGCTTTCAATCAGTACCCTTTGATTCCTACCAGCATTTCTAGGCAGTCACACAATAAGACCTAATTTTGTAAGGGGAGGAAAAGCAGGACGCCACTCGTGTTTGTACAGCTTGTTTAAAATGTGACACCTATTTACTGGTGCATTATTTCCTATTACTCCCAAAGGATGGGTTTAATATTTTCTTGGTGAAGAAATTTTCTGCATCACAAACACAGATCATGGAAAAGTAATATTCCTTTGTGACAGCAATGAGGTGAAGTCATGAATAATTTAAAGTTTTATGCTTTGTGAAACCAGTTGCTGTCTTTTTCAAGGGTGACTACATGTCCACATGTAAATATATTGGCCTTAGTCTGGGTCCAAGTTATACTCCTGGTTAATAACTGTGAATTCAGAGCAATGCGCTGATGACTTCTAAGACTGATTTCAGCTTCATGACAGGAACCTCTGTCTCCCCCGAGCCTACAGCCTAATCAGTACTTTGACTGATCATAGTTAAAGTAAGTTAAAAGATAGCAAGCACTCCACCATTTTTAGTAAAGAAATGTTTAGCATTCTTTGGGGAATCCTTATTTTACCACCTCACTTATTTAGTAAAGCTAACAAACAGCCTGACTTTTGGGAGAAAGAATTTTTTGCTTTAAAGAGTCTTTACAGTTTTGGCCAGTGAAAAACACCGGATATGTCCACAAAATATAAAGAAACTAAATCCTTATATAAAGCATGGGGGTACATGTGGAACAGATGCCCGGAGAAGTCAGGAGAGCAGACTCCTGGTATGTCAAGTAAAGTATGTGAATTATTTGTATTGATTTTTCTACTAGGAGCTTTTGAAAATATCTACTGACCTCAGGCCAAAATGGAAACTCTTAAACAGGCGTATAAATGTCATTTTTTGATGATATAAATGCCCTATTTTGGAAAGCCAAAACAAAGATGCCCAAATAGAGCAATTATTTAGATTGCTGATTATGTATTTGACGTGAATCCGAAAGGTCACTTGTCTCTGGCTGAATTGAACAGAGACCTGGGATGATCTCATCAGCTGTAAAGCACAGTGAGGTCAGGTCTAGTTCATCTATGGAAGGAAGACTTCAACAGAAGAAAACCTCTCGAGCTGAATTAATGCGATGACTCTCTTTCATCTGAGTCATTACTGATCAATTGTTGCAGCCTGCTATTGAGGGCACTGCACTGTGCTGGGTGGGACCTGCTGCACAAACAAGCCATAGGGACCAGCATTTTTGGCCACATGCATTTAACAGATGGGGTCTTTGCACACTGGCCTGGTTCACTTGCAGCCAAAGTAATTGCAAGCTCTCAGCGTCTATTAGAGCAAAAAGTGTAAGTGGACATGATTTCTCGCATCTCCTACCTCGTGGTGCCTTGTTGTCATGCACTATTTAACTACTACGGCCATGCTGTACTTGGGGATGGGTGCCCTGAACATTTAGTCTGCAGACACGTTAATGATGGAGGCACTGATTAAACAGGAGAGTTTATAGATAACAGCAGCATCATAGCACGGCAATTTTAATTAGAGGGAATATATTGTGGCTGTTCTTTGCATGTGTGTAGAGTGGCAAAGGGAACCTTGGGGTCCTTCAGGGCAGTTAGGCTCATTGCATCTCACAAGGATGCGGACAGGGCTATCGGACAGGTAGCAAATGTTGTTGATGTGACACAACTCTCACGTGCGCTGGCCGATGGGTCACTGTGGCTGGAGAGCTGGCTGCCTCCGGGGGCGAATGAATGGCTGTATGGAGCAGCCACTCCGTGGTGTCCCCAGCTCCCTATGGCTAGGTGTTCCCCACCATTGTTTGCCATTCCCCACAGTCAGGTAGCCAAGTAAAAATCTGGTTTTATTTGCAGACTTTTCGAGACCCTCCAGTCACTCTTCTGGTCTGTGTTTGGTCTGCTGAATCTCTACGTCACCAACGTGAAAGCCAGACATGAGTTCACAGAATTTGTTGGGGCCACTATGTTTGGGACCTACAACGTCATCTCCCTTGTTGTGCTGCTGAACATGCTCATAGCCATGATGAACAACTCCTACCAGCTCATTGCCGTAAGTTACCTCATTCTCTCTCTTTTTGCTTTTATTTTTCTCCATGTGCCTCATCTATTTGGCTTATAGCAAGTGTATATCTTACGGGATGCTGGAGGCTGCTGCCCCCAGTTTTTGACAGCAGATAGTTGGGATTTCTACTCACTAGCCTGAATCATGCTTGCGGAGGAGGTTTTACTCTGTTTGTAATGCTTTTTAGCTGGAAAAGGCTTATCAGCTGTGATCTGCCTTTGTCTTCTCCGGTAAAGTAACCTCACTGATCACCACATCATTAGCACCTGATTTACTTTGTAGCAGAGAGGGTATTTAAAGGGAAGCCTTCCCTCTGCTTCCTGATGGTAGGTTTTAACTTGGGGGGCTTGGGGGCGGGGGGCACAGTGTTTGTATAATTTTTTCTCTCTCTCCTATTACTGTTTTCTTATTTGAAACTTTGTGTGTCAGCAGCCCAGTCCTGTAATTTCTTATGCCACAGTCTTCCCACTGAAATTAAATCATTTCCACCTGTAAGACCAGCCAGGCTGCTGGCAGCTGACTCTGTAGACCCATAATCTGAGATTCCTGAGTAACCTCAGCGCAGGATGGATCTGAGCTGAGGCAGCTCAGGGCTGCCAGTTGGCTCAAGAGCTGGTTTCAAACTTAACTTTATTTTCATTTGAATGTTCAAAACTGGTCTCTCTACTGTAATTTGATTCTGTGTACCTAAAAGCCAACCTGTACATTGAAGATTAAATTTGTCAACAGATTGAAAACTAAAGCACCATGGCTCTGCATTTTAAGGCTCTTCAGGTAAACTACACAGAAACAGTATGGAAGTGTGTGCACATCTTGTGTGCACATAATTAAGGTAAACCAGTGGGCACTTTCCAGTTCTGAGGCCTAACATGCTAGGTTTAGTGATGGTGAGGTGATGTAGTGTTACATCATCTGTGAACAGAAACAGGAGTTAGAAAAGCCATTTATGTCCTCAGCTGGTCACTCAGAAGTACAGGCAGAGTACAGACTTCCTTCTCTGCTTTGGATGGCTCTTGGATTTACTCTAGAAGACAGAGGATAAAACAGAGAAAAAAAGCACCAGCTCTCCTACTCTTTCCATTCCGAACTGCCTGGACAGATCTCTGGGGAAATGGGTGGGTGAGCTCCTCTCCTGGCTAAAGCACACAGAGGAGAGTACTGAGTTGTCTGCTTGAACTGGTTCCACAACTGCTGTTGGTCATCTGCAAATTCAAGTGGCCCCTAAATTTAGGTATCTAGTCACACTGAGCACAGACTCAGTCAAATCGGTGATACTTTTGGACATCTGATCTTTATCACGTTAAAAAGTATGAGAAAAACGGCACCATTGACCTTCCAAATGAGCAGAAAAGCAGCTTATTACAAAGGCCTTATCAGTCTGCTTTATCAGTCTGTTTCAATGCTTTAGGTGCTTTCTCGTTGTTCAGTGCTACTCCTCACATTCCAAGGAGACTGGAATGAGGGGCAGAAAACAAAGATACTCTCCTTGGCCATTTTCTCCCATTCCCCTTCCTTTATTGTCATCAAATAGGCTTGTCACTGACACAAAGCCCAAACCTAAGATTGGCATAAGAATAGCAGTATTTGCTATTCACTGGGATACAAACCACTCGTCATTCTTTTCCCTGAATAATTTGAGTGATGCAATGACACATTACAAACAATCCCACATGACTTAGAGAGACCCATCATAACAATTAACTGAAGTGAATGGTCCAGAGCAGACTGTTGAATGGATGTTTTTTGTACATGGAGCAGTTGGGAACAGTGAATTGCTCCATCAGAAAGTGTGCTTGTGAGAGACCTGAACTCACCAGATAACCCAGGCATAATACACAATTCAGCATGCAGCGTGAGCCCCCTACTCAGAAGAGTAACAGTGAAAATGCTACAGGATACTTCTTTGTCACTTAAGCTGTCATATTGCAATTGCTACTGAGAGCAGTGACATTTCTTGGGAAAGCAAGAGGCGGTCACTTCCAGCCTCTTCCCGTGCAGTGCATGCAGCTTGTTTTTTGAAGCTAATATTTCTGCATACTCACAGGATTCTGTCAGGGACAGGTTTTCTTCATGTGTCTTCTAAGGGCAAACATCAATTAATCTCCTCCCTGAAGAAAACAGCTCATTAATAAATGTTGAGCTTTACAACTGTGGGTCATTTTTTTAACCTCCTCTAATCAGGTCTAACCCTTTCTGAATCACAACAGACTGGTTGCTAGACTGGGCACTTCTTCCTCCTGGTATTTATATTACAGTGAATCCACATGGAATGACAGCATTCCAGGGAGGGAGGAGGGGAAAGGACCAAGAAGCCCTTGGAGTGGGGTGGAGGTCCTCTTCTCCAATACATCAGTAGGAAATCTTGTGCCATGTGCAGGACTGACTCTGCAGAGAAATGAAATCAGCTAGACATCAGGGACGAGAGCGCATCTCTGCTTGGTGATTTCCCTGCAGTGGAGTGGTCAGGACACCTTAATTAATTCCACTTGTTAATGAGCCAGTGAGTGAGCAGGCACTGCTGCAATGCAAACAGTCTTTCTCCCCTCCTTTCTTCCAGGGACAAATATGTTCATGCATTTGTAGCAGTTATTCTTCAGGTTAGCTTTGCTCCGTTGTCTCATATATGCATGAATGTCTGCTGTGAGGTTAGAGAACGGAGAATCTAAGCTGCTCTTTCTTCCCTCTGCCGTCGTGTCTCCCCAGAATGGGGGGTAGGGCTTGGCAGTTAATTAAGCACTGTAGGCACACAGCATGAAACCACAGGGTATCTGTGGAAGACAGAGCAAGGCAAGCAAAGAGTAAAACCTCCACACAGCTTTGAGTGATTCCTGACTCACCGAAGGAAGAATTTTTCTGCCATAATGTTGTTGTTTTTTTACTAAGCTATTTCAGACTTCAATAAATACATTTTTCTAGGGGTACCCTGAAGCAGTTTCAATATTGATTTTTTTCATACAGCCCATTTTTCTCTTTCGCCAAACCATTGTCAAGAGCTGGTTCTGGGAGACACTATGTTTCACCAACAAAGCAAACAAAATCCAAATGCACACCAAAATTTCCATACGCTTTGCAGTGTTTCAGTATGTGAAGATCAGAATGTTCTATATGAGCAGCACAGAATGCAACTGGATGTTATGCACGGCCAGGTCTGTAATCTCAATACTTTCCCAGACGTGACAGAAATACCATCACCTGATGAATAGAGGAAGAATATGTCACCATGACAAGAGGAAGGACAATGGTACTTATCTGAGAGTAGCCAGGTGGCTCCATCATTCCTAAGTGGCAGAAAGTAACAGAGTGGGTAATGAGGACACTTTATGTGATGGGCTGTTTCTCATAGGATTGCCACTTGGCTGCATCTGAAGTTATGCAAGCCTTCTGCCAGTTTGTAATTTGTTCAAAACGATGTGATAGTGGGTGTTACTGAGGGTCCTAGGGTACAGGTGCATTTTGGCCTTTCTGGCGCCCTCGGATGCAGGTACATTTTGCAGGGAATTAGCAATCTACACATATTTTCTGAAAGCATATTCCTTATGGACACATCGGTGATATTCTGGGAAGTCATACAAGAATTAGTCACTGGAACTGTACCAACAGTTCTGACTCTGCAGCCGTAGGAACAATGGGAAGCAAGATCGATGGAAGAACAGCAACTAAGACCCATCTGCAGGTGGAAAAACCACAGGGCTGTGAACTCGTAATCTGAGTTCCAGGTGAGGTGGAGTGATAAGTGGTACACAACAGCACTGCAGCACTTGGCATCCCACTGACATATTAAGGAGAGATGTAAGCACTTGCAGCTTTCCAATGTTTTTAGGGAAGTACAACGATGCTTAATACCTCAGGGATAGCGTCACACCAAAGTCAGTCCGAGAGAAATTTCCTCTAACTACTGTGAATGAAAATGAAGGTGTTACAGCTTTAAGTGTGTAACATACATGGTGTACATGTGACATTGGAATAACGACTTCACTCCAGCAGTAGGTTTTGAGTGACGGAATTGTTTTGTATATTGTATTTTCTATCCTCCTGTTGGTTTGTATGTCTGTTATTTCAAGCTAGTTCATCTCAGACAGCTGTTAACTGCACAAAACAGCTGCCTGTTTATAATTTTTTAAGTGTATCTTTGCCAGTAGAGTGTATGACCATTTGAAACATGGTTGCCAGTGTTCAGTTTGGAGAAATAAGGGCATTGGACACCAAACTAGGAGTGCAGTTCTAAACCATGGAATGAAATAGAGTGGATTAGCACATATTGTGGAGGACAAGAATGAAAATGATAAATATTTTGCATAGCAAAACAAAAGCTGCCCAGTAAACAGAAACAGTTGGTAAGTGCAGCTAAAAATAAGTGATCACTTTCAGGAAATGTTGACTCTAAGTGTAGGGATGTTGAATGTGGAATTTTCTCCAATTTGCAGACTGGAGATCTTAAAAATTAAAGCACAGAGGAATATAAAGACCTTTCAGCTCGCTATTACGTTGTTTCCAAGATGACTTTGGATTTCCCCTAGGAAGTAGTATCAAATTTTTTTTGATCTACAAAGAACAAGAATTTCTCTAGTTTTCTGCACCTCAGCACCATGGCAGTAGTTTCTACCCAGTTTAATTCACAACAGCAGCAGAAGTTCTCTTCCCCACTGTGATCTGTGACCCTTAGGACTGTCAAAAAAATGTTGCACCTCCTCTGCTTGCATGACCTGCACAGTTATTACTTGGTGGTTTTGCTAAGGAAGAATTTTATGAGCCAATAAACTTAGCTCAAGATACACAGCTGGACAGTACCTGCATATGGCATTTTTTGGGGTGGTAGGGTGTCTTCCTAGAGAGGTAAGGCCAGCTCCAAAGCCTGGACTCACATCTAAGCTATCGTAAAGCATCAGGAAGGGTTCATCTCACAAGCCCTGTTTCAGAACCATTAATTTGAATTTCTTAGGAGAAATTGAGATGTGTTTGTTTTTTAACTCTGTCATACAGCAGGAAAA